GTAGTGACACATGAATTATGTTTGGCCATAACGCTGGCTGTTGTGTGGATGAGGGGTTGGGGACCAGGTTAGAGGCTGTTGCAGGGATTTATTGAGCCCAGTCTTTGTGTCAAACACTCTGCTAGGTCCCCTGCCCTCAAGGAGCCTTCAACCTAATGGGGGCAACAGACACCTAAATAGCTATTTTCAATATTACGTTGTGGCCGAAAGAAAAGCAACGGTAATAAGGACCAGACGCCCCGGGAGCACAGAGGAGGTGCTTTTCTTCTGTCTTCTTGGGCAAGTGCAGGCCTGCCTGCGCAGGAGGGAGGATTAAGGAAACATTCCTCAGGCTAATGCTGAAAGGGCGAGGGTTCTGCTTGCCTGGGGCTGGGTTAGGTAATGAGAGAAATCAGAGAAGCATAGGAAGTCAGGGCCTTGCCCTTCACAGCCTGCTTTGCTTCCTCTTAACTTTGAAGACTTTTATATTGACCAAGTTAAATGAAGAGTCCTAGCCATTCTTGCACCAGGGGGTCCCTGTAACCATCCCATTGAATCCAGATCCTTCTCCTGACTTCCAAAGCCCCAATATGCAAGTTGGCTTGACTCACAATATGCAACAGCCTACCGGCCTGCGACACCCTCCCAAAGGGCATGGGTGCACACAGAGCACCTGAGAGAGCTCTTGGGGTCCCTTATCACATACTAACACTCTTGCCCAGAGGGCTCTGTCAGACTCATCATCCCCAAAGCAGCCTGTCTGCAGGACAGGAAGGTAAGTCCTAGAGTCCCCAAGTTGAAAACCACTCTGGATAAGAGGTGGAAATATGGGACGGGGTGTGAGCAGGAGAGCTCCCTGGAGGTTGTGCCATTTTGATTGGGCCTTGGTGGGTGAGCAGGAGTTCCAGAGCCAAAGAAGGGCCCGGTAGCTTGGTAACTACAACAGAGTATCAGACACTTTTTTTTTTTTCCGGTATGCGGGCCTCTCACTGTTGTGGCCTCTCCCGTTGCGGAGCACAGCCTCCGGACGCGCAGGCTCAGCGGCCGTGGCTCACGGGCCCAGCCGCTCCGCGGCATGTGGGACCTTCCCGGACCGGGGCACGAACCCGTGTCCCCTGCATCGGCAGGCGGATTCTCAACCACTGCGCCACCAGGGAAGCCCCAGACACTTTTTAAATGTTCGTGAATGAAGGGAAAATAGGGCACTTCAGACAGAGAGCACAGTAGGACAGCAGGTGCAAAATCCAAGAAGTCTGACAGTCCATGGGGAAACTGGAGAACGTTCTGGAATGGCTGGAGACTAGGGCTTACGGCGGTGGACAGGAGGTCAGTGGCGAGATGCTGGAGAGGACATGTCCAATCTCTGTGGTCCTGTGGTTCTAACTGTCCTCGTATCTGTTTGCTTGTTTCGTGATACCTGCCATCGTCCGGGGACCAGGCTCTGCATTTTGACGAAGGGACCAGAGATCACCTGGTCCAAACATCGCACTTTAAAGATGAGAGACCAGCTCAGAGAAGCAAGGTCATTTGCCCAAACTCACAGAGCCAAGAAGCAGTTGAGCCGGGAGGCTAACCTAGTACATTTTATTCCAGGTTGAAGGCTCTTTTCATCAGCCTTGGGTGCCTCTCCGACTGATGGATTTTGACCACGTTTGGGGACCCTTAACATTTTTCTAAATATGATTGAAGTTCAATTTGTGGTTCAGTTGGCTATTTTGAAACAAAATCATGGCTGTGATTGTTTTCACAATAGCAAATGTGCTCGCTTTTGTTCTTATTGGTTGGTTGGGTGGGTGGGTGGGTGGCTGGCTGGCTGGCTGGCTGGCTGGTTGGTTGGTTAGTTGACTGGCTGGATGGATGGATGGTTGGCTGGATGGCTGTTTGGTGGCTGGTTGGTTGGTTGGTTGGTTGATGGTTTGTTGGTTGGTTGGTTGGTTGGTTGGTTGGTTGCTGGTTTTTACCAGATGCTAACATTACCATATACATCAGAGTGGCCACAGATACACATGAATGCATTAAGCAAGGGCACAGCTTGTTGCTCTGGCCTTTCGTTTAAAGGCCTTTAGAGAAAGACAGCACCTAACTGCCCTTAGTTACTTGTATAACTTTACCCAAGTTACCCCTAAAATGTAACCTAAATCTGTGCTTTGGTTTAAAATAACCTTTACCTGTTGTGGCTGCAGCAGAGAGAAGATAGCTGACCAACTGTAACTAAAACCTCCTATATAAATTAGTATCTTACTATTAATGCTAATACCTAGTGAGTGCTTACTCAGCATCAGATGCTGTGCTAAGTGCTTTACACGTGTTGCTAGGTTATCTAATCCTCACCTCAACTCTGGGAAAGGTGCTGCTTTTATTCCCATTTTATTGATGGGGCAACTGAGGCTTAGATATTTTAAGTAACTTGCTCAAGGTCTCACAATTAGTAAGTGGTAAAACTAGGATCTGAATCCAGAAATATAACTTTAATCTTCATACTTGGGCCACTACCCTTTCAGTGCCCAAATATAACTTCATTCTCATCCTTCTAGATCCTACTCAAAGTTCTCCATCCCATCCAAGTATCTCAGAACATTAAAATTGGATGACACCTGAGTGTTCACCTAGTCTAAACTCTTCAAATGAATTCACCGAATTCCTTTGAATTCTTCAAAAATGAGGACAGAGATCCAGAGAGGCAAACTGTTTTTCCCAAGGTCACTCAGCGAGTGAGGGCTTTCCCTGAATGGTCCCCCTTTCTCATTCAGTGATGGAAGACTTCCAGGCTTGGGCCATTCCAAGACCGCCTTCTCTGGGTCCTGAATTCCTTCATCTTTGACCAATCCCACTCCACCCTCATCTTCAGCCTCTCCCCCTGCCCCATCCCCAGGAGAGGGTCTCCACAGGCTCCTGCTTCCTCGCATACTTTCCACACTTCCCACCTGCCTCAGCTTTGCCTCAGATCCACATCTCATGACATAGTAGTTTCCTCTGCTGGGCAGCCCAGCAGACCTCCAGCCCTGGGGCCAGGACTCGTCACTTTTTGGCCTCAGTCCTGAATCCCAGCTTCCTGTGCACCATCTCTCCCCAGGTTTGCACCAAATAAACCAAAATACAAACCCACCTCTGCCCCAATATAAAGCTTCTCTTCTCACTTTTCCTCATATCAGTCATACCTGGGCTCCAGCAATTTACCTCACCTTTTAAAAATGTCGTCATACACTCTGCCCTCCTGGCCTGTCCCTCCTGCTGAGGAGGGGGCAGGGGAGCAGCCGCTGGTGCGTCTGCCAGAGGCCAAGGCTGTGCCCTGGCTGCTGCGACTGTGGTGTCCTAGCCTGCTTAGGCTGCGAGAACGAATGCCATAGGCTGGATAGCTTAAACAACAGACATTTATTCTCCCAGTTCTAGAGGCTGGACACCTGGGATCAGGCTGCCAACGATGGTTGGGGGCCTGGGGAGGGCTCTCTTCCTGGCTTGTAGACTTGCTGTGTGCTCATGGAGAGAGAGAGAAATCTCTCTCTATTCTTCTTCTTATGAAGGCACTAATCCCATCACGAGGGTCCCACCCTCATGACCTAATCTAATTACCTCCCAAAGGCCCCATCTCCAATTACCATCACACTGGGGGTTAGGGCTTCAACAAGTGAATTTGGGAGGGCACACAAACATTCAGCCCATAACATACAGGTATTCTGACATCTTGACAAAATTGACCTCTTGACCTCTGGACTAAAGGGACACCCCATCTATCCCAGACCCGATTCAGCACCAGACAGGGGTTGGTGGGCAGGGAGGTCCCCAGTGACTTCTGCCCATTCAGACTGAATGCACTTTTCACCAGGGAATAGTGACCCAACACTTGCCCCCTAGGGAGATTATTCCTGTCTTCAGAGACCATGCTCCCTCCTGTTTCCCTCTGGACCATTTACAGGGAATCAAATCAATAGCCTATTGATTTCCATACATTCATCCTTGTAAGAGATATTTCTGAAACACCTACTGCATGCCAGGCACAGTGCTGCTGCTAGAGACCCAGTGCCTACTCGCACACACACACCCATCCATTGAGGAGATGGACATAGAACAAATAAGCACATTAGTGGATACAGAATCACAGCAGGAGAGAAGAGCACAGAAGGAGAGCAGCTTAGTGCTAGGGGAACATTTCACAAAGAACCTGGACTAGACCAGCATGGGGAGGGAGTCTGGCCCAAGAAGTCTTCCCTCCCCTTATCCTGTGCTGGACAGAGCTCATGCTCTCCCCCTCGTCCTGTCACTCTTCTTCTCACACCCTTTCAAAGTTCAGCCCCAAGTTTCATGGCCCATACAGGAAACATAAGTGAAATCAATCATCTCACTCTCTTGCTCAAAACCCCCTGTGGCTCCTTAGCACACTTGGCACAAAGTCCAAGGCCCTCCCCACAGGCTGTAAGCCCCTGCTCCCTGCTCCCTGTTTCCTGAAGGCTCTGGTCTCCCACCAGCCCCACCTCAGATCTGCATCCGCCACTGTGCTGGTCTTTGAGCAGGTTAGACACATGCCCGTCTCAGGTCCTCAGCCTCTCTCTGCAGGAACTCTTGACCCACAGACAACCGCAAGCTGCTCTCCTTCCTTTCTTTTAGATTTCTGCTCAAACACATCCCTCAATTATCATATTTACAGTATCCCTGTCCTTCCCTCTGCCCCTTATTTCCTTGCTTTAGCTTTCTTCATATCACATATCATTACCTACCAGTGTATCATATGATATATCTTTATGCTAATACCTAGTGGTTTGTCTGTTGGTTCATTTTCTATCCCCTCCCCAGTAGAACGCAAGCCCCAAGAGGACAGGGACTTCACGTCTTTGGTCTCTGGCTATTATAGATGCTCAGTAAATATTTGTTAAATAAATGAACAAATAGGGGACATTTAATAAATTATTGGTGAACAAATGAACAGAGCAGGGGTTCTCAGAGGTCTAAATGGGGACTGTTGGAACAGCAGGGGTGAGGAGGGATCAAGTTTTGTGAAAGAAAAAAAGTACACAGACACTGTTATGAACTGTTCAAAGGTACTTTTATTAACTCTCGCTTCCTTCAGGCAAGGCAAACTTCGGTGAGGAGAAGGGAAAGTCTTCTTGGGGACATTGCTGGGAAGGGCCCATCAGAGCTTCTACTCTTTGTGGATAGCATCATGGGCAGTCTTCAGCACCCTGGACACCAGGACTATGAATTCCTCAAAGGTGACCTGTCCATCTTTATCAGCATCCAGCTCTTGGAATACTTTGTCAATGGAAGGTTGGTCTTTGGTGTTCTTGGAGAAGGGGAAGCAGGGACAGTGAGCTCCCCTTTATCCAGGCCTCAAATCCCTCAGAACTCAGCTTAGGGAGGCCCGGGAACACCAACTGATTAGCCAAAACTATGTGGGAGAATCCAATGTGAGAAAACAGAAGACAGAGAGAAGCAGCTATCTTGGGCCATCCTAGAATCAAGTCTTAACCTGGAAGATGCTGTGTAGCTCAGCAATCCAATCCCACCCTGCCCTGCCTCTCTCCACTCTACAGAGACAGGAAGGAGCAGAGCCTAAGGTGATGGTGGGAGTTATTCAGAGAGGGAGGCAAAGCCCTTGTCCCACAGCTGGTGGGGGGTGGGGGGAGACATCCTTGGAAGCTCAAACTGGGAAGAACCCACCCCTTGTCCCACCATCATCCTTCAGGCCTTGCCACTGCCCTCAGTGCAGGGGGTCGGGCAACTTTTCCAAGAGAGGAGCATCACGTACCTTGAGGGCATTTGGAAGTTCCTTTGTGATCAGCTTCTTCAGCTCACTCTTGTTGAGGGTGTCATAATGCCCCAGCCGAATGGAGTACTGGTGGAAGATGTTGATGATTCCCTCCAGGTGGTCTTCCAGCTTCGTCATCTCCCTAACTTCGCATTCACCTTCAAAGAGACAAGGGAGGTCTTGTCAAGGGGCAGTTCCTCCCCCACCCCACAGCACTTCCACTCTCTCCTCTCTTGCCGTATCAAAGGTTTAGACAAGGGATGACTACCCCTGGGTCTGCTCTGCGTTCTCTCTGCTCTGTGTTTGATCCACGGTGAATGTTCTCATTTGCAGATAGGATGGGGAGAGAAGGACATAGAATACCGCCTAAAGTCTAAAAGAATCAGCCTTAACTGTTGCGGTGTTCCATGTCCCCCCGTCTCCTGGGGACTATAGTCCAGAGGGTGTTAATCACTCAAGCTCACCTGGGAAGGGTGCTGTGGTTGGCCAGGCTGTTCCCTTTCCCCCAAGTGTTGGTACTTAAGGGCCCTTACAGATGCCAGCCACCCCACCCACCTTGGCCATCCCCAAGTCCTGAGACTGGGTCTTCCTAGCACAGCAAAAGCTGGCATCCTTGGGCCCAAAATGCAGTCAGCCCAGAGCGGCTCCAGCAGGCAGGGGGTTGTAGCTTCCAACAGCCTGCCAAGTGGCCCCCTGAAGGCCCAGCCAAGGAAAGGACACTTACCCCTCAATGCACAGAAGTGTGGAGGCAGCAGCACTGGTGAGGAGCCCTGAGCCAGGGAGGTTTTTATAAGGCAGGTGTCACCTTTGACCTCGAGTGAAGAAACTTCTCTCATTCACCATGGGGCATGTTTCTCTGTTGCTCAAGAGAAGCTTCAAACATGCGGCACTGACTGCAACATGGGCAGCTCAGATTGCAAGAGAACAAGTTTCACTGCAGGCATGGCTCCTACCCGGAAAGGGAAGGGCTGGGGAGAGGCATTTGCTGAGTGTCTATGCAACAAAAGTGATAGTGATAATAAAAACAACCAAAGTAGACATGTAATCTGGGAAAGGAAAAAGGACATTGGTTTAAAACTAAAGAAATCTGAATATAAAGTATGGAACTTAGTTGATAATAACGTGTCAAGAGCAGCTGATTAATTGTAACAAATGTACCACACTATGTAAGATGTTAATAATAGGGGAGACTGTGTGCAGGAATACTGGAACTCTCTATATTATTTTCTCAATTTTTCCATAAATCTAAAAATGTTCTGAACTAAAGTCTAAGTGTTTGTTTGTTGGCCGCACAGTGCAGCTTCCGGGATCTTAGTTTCCTGACCAGGGACTGAACCCAGTCCACAACAGTGAAAGCACCTAGTCCTAACCACTGGACCACCAGGGAATTCCCTAAGTGTTTTTAAAAGTGACCATGTATTGGGCACTCACATCATGCCAGACACTGCCTTACACAAACCCTCACCTAATTCTCCAAACAGCCTTCACTCCAACAGCGCTAACGGTTTCCCCATTTTGCAGATGAAGAAAATGAGTTAAGGTTAAGGAACTTTTCTAAGTGCCAAATCCAAAATTGTCTACTTTCAAAACCTTTGCCATTTTGTAATTTTTCCCTAAAATGAGAATAGTTTTTTGTTATCAAAAATAATACATGCTTGGGGCTTCCCTGGTGGCGCAGTGGTTAAGAATCCACCTGCCAATGCAGGGGACACGAGTTCGAGCCCTGGTCCGGGAAGATCTCACATGCCGTGGAGCAACAAAGCCCGTGCGCCACAACAACTGAGCCTGCGCTCTAGAGCCCACAAGCCACAACTGTTGAGTCCATGTGCTACAACTACTGAAGCCCGTGTGCCTAGGGCCCATGCTCCGCAACAAGAGAAGCCACCACAATGAGAAGAAGCCCGCGCATCACAACGAAGAGTAGCCCCCGCTGGCCGCAACTAGAGAAAGCCCACGCGCAGCAAAGAAGACCCAATACAGCCATAAATAAAATAAATAAATAAATTTATTTTTAAAATAATAGTAATACTACATGCTCATACTTTTTGTAGAAAACCTAATTTTTGGTAAATGACACAATCTTATATCAGACCCTGACCTTTTTCTTCCAGTTTGTGTCCTAATGCCATCAATTCTTGATTAGCCTTTTTAAAAATTCTTTCTTCCACGCTCCCCCACACCCTCCAACTCACTGTGTGAGACTCGGGGACAGAGCAGCACAAATTCCGTGGCTGCTCTCCCGGAGTTTGCAATCTAATGGGTTCAGACACCTTCCTGAATCGTAGGAAGAGTTCACCACACGTAATGGGGGTGGGGGGTTGGGGGGCACTAGTCAGGCCAAGACTAGCGACCTGGATTCCACACTGGCAGGGGGACTTGGGAGAACCAGGGCTGCCTGGCAGGCCACAGTGGGAAGGGTGCCAGGGACCAGCCTGTGCCCTTGGGCAAGGCTTTGACCTCTATGAGCCTGTTTCTTCATTTGTGTGGTCACCTCACCGGACTCCTTTAGTTCCCAGATTTGTTATGAGGCTCAGCTGACAGACTATATGAGAAAAGGCTTGAAAACAGTAAAGTGCTATCTTTAAGTTGGTTTTACTTTTGCCCTTACCCACCCAGCATGGATGTGTGGATCATTTAGCCCAGCCAGCATGAACATGAGCCCAGAGCCAGCCCTCCGGGGCCTGGCCACTGAATACTGGGGGTCTCCTAGCAGAACAAAGAGATCTGCCTCTTCTGTGTCTTGAAGAGCGTCCACTGGTGGAGGAGCCTACACTCCAGCTTTCCCTCTAAGCACCAGTCCCTACACCTGTGCCCATCCAGAAAGGACTTCCAGAAGTCAAGGGAGTTCACACAGAAGGCTCCTGACACAGTTCCTGGCACAGGGAATAATATCACTTGTCTTACCTTCCTCCTTCCTCCCACCTGACCTCACTGAAAAGGTAGGATTGGGCCCAACAGGAAAGGCCAAGCCCAAGTGATGTTCCCTCCTGCTGCTGGCCTTGGTGCTCCCAAGGGTATTCCAGAGACTAGTGGCCTCCTGGCTATTCCTTGGGCTGGTCCTACCTCCCCATCAATAGGAACTCCTCGAGGCCAAGACTGTGTAGGAAGCTGATGCTCATGGCAGCCAAGAAGGATGAAGAGTATGGGAAACTCTTTTGTTGATAGTTTGATACAGATGATACTGCAATGGTAGATGCATGTCATTTTACATTTGTCAAAACCCATAGAATGTACAATGCAAAGAGTGAACAGTAACATGAACTATGGATTTTGGTTAACAATAATGCATTAATGTTCGCTCATCGATTGTAGCAAACATACCACACCAATACAAGATGTCAGTAACAAGGGAGCTGGGGGAGTGAGGGCTAAGGGAGTATTTGAGAACTCGCTGGACTTTCTGCTCAATTTTTCTATAAACCTAAAACTGCCCCTGAAAAATAAAGTTTATTAATTAAGAAAAATACTACTGCCTCTGAAGTCATTATGCACAAAAAGTAACAGCATACTACACAACAGGAAACAAGCTTTTCAAGTAAATTTTGGGCCAAATTGATAGAGATTTACTTTCACAACTTCCTCTATAAAGTTGGTCAAAATACCTTGACAATGGTGGGGAACCTAGCACATTAGAAAAAATTTTAACTAGCAAAAATGTGAATTCATTCTAACTCTTCTAACCTCAACAAGAAATAAACACATGCTCTAAAGTAGAAGATAGACAGAGCTTCAGGAGGAATACACTGGATGTGATCATGTAAACACCCCGAAAAAGTATATCAAGATAACTAAATTTTCATAATGCAAAAAACAATGAATTAAACTGGTAAATCTGAGTAAAGAGTATATGGGAATTGCCTGCACTGTACTTGCAATTTTTCTGTAAGTTTGGACTTATCAAACTAAATTACATCAAATTGAAATGATACCAAAATTTTAAATTACCCAAAAAGTACTCATGGCAACCGAAATGACTCTGTTAGTCACATCAAGAAGTGGGGATGGGCTTCCCTGGTGGTGCAGTGGTCGAGAGTCCGCCTGCCAATGCAGGGGACACAGGTTCGTGCCCCGGTCCGGGAAGATCCCACATGCCGTGGAGCGGCTGGGCCTGTAAGCCATGGCCGCTGAGCCTGTGCGTCCAGAGCCTGTGCTCCGCAATGGGAGAGGCCACAACAGTGAGAGGCCCGTGTACAGCAAAAAAAAAAAAAAAAAAAAAAGAAGTGGGGAGGGGCACACGTAGAGCATAAAATGGGGCAGGGTGACCAGAAGGGGCAGAATGGCAACCCACCGAGCTGGGTTTACCCTCCAAGTTAGCCCAGAGCCTGGCTCTGGGTAGAGACAATAAATATGAGTGCCCTACCCTTATAGAGGCACCTTCTCTGAAAAATCCTTCTCCAGGAGGGAAATAAACTCCCAGGTAAGCAAAGAGAGGGAAAAAGAGGGTGACATTGCTTTAAAGGATGGGAGGCGCTGGATCTAAAGGGATACCATCCTCAGAGATGTGAAGAGAGCCTCAGATCCACTCTTACTTCTGAGCAATGATGAGAAGAGGAGTGTGGGTTTCTTCACCTGGCAAACACTTCACCTGGCAAACACCTGGCCCTTCATATCTGGTAGTCACTGCTGGCCAGGCACTGGGGAAAGCAACCATGAACAGGACAGACATGGTACTGACCTCACTGAGCTTACAGTCTTGGGAGGACATAGACGGGAAAGGCTCTCTGGTAAGGCGGGGACAGAGCTAAAAAGGCCAGGAAAGGAGAGGCGTTGCTTCTTCTTGTTTGAACAAAATTAATCATCAGCTTTATCCTCAGTTTTGGCAAGCAGAATGTCAAAACTCTTTTATGTCTAAGGGGGGAGGAAAACCTCTCCCTCAGTTATTCTGGGGTGCAAAGCTAGTCACTGGACCAGCTTTCAAAAAGTATCCCAGGGTTTTCAGGAAGTGAGACAGTAATCCCTCTATGCCTTCCCCCACTTTCCCGTCACAGCCTCCAAATTTGGAAGTTAGAAAAAGCTGTCAAGTTGGGCTATGATGACCATGATCAAAGTGCCATGGTAGGAAGAGGTTATCAAGACCTCTGAAATAAAATCTTTTGAAGTCTAGCCTGGTGACCTCCATTCAGTACCACAGACTCCCCTGCATGCTTTGTGGTGACCCAGTTACCATAGCAACATATACAGAAAGGAGGAGGGTCCAGGCCACATGTGGAGCACCACTGAGGCGTGGATGAGGACCTGCACCACCCCAGCAGCAGTGGCTAGCAGTTTGCCCCTAAAACTGCACAGCCCAGGCTTCAATGACCACACCTTACAAGCACAAGAAGCTACTGCTTTTGGGGGACAAGTGAGTGAGACCCCAGCTCCCTGCCCCTTTGGCTTGTGGAGGCAGAACAGATCCCAGCAATGGGTTAAGAAAGCCCCTGGGGTGTTTGAGAAATTCAGGGATGGGGAGGCCACAAGAGGAGAAACTGGACAGGTAGGAGCATGAGCAAATGGCAGGAAAATAAGATGCTTGTAATGGTGTGTTTATTCGCAACTGAACAAATCATGTCACGATTCAAATTGAAGTTTCATCCAGATTACTCAGCATCATGGACTAATTTGCCCTTCAGAATTAGACAACTGGGGGGGGGGGTGATGAATTGGGAGATTGGGATTGACATATATACACTAATATGTGTAAAATGGATAACTAATAAGAACCTGCTGTATATAAAAGTAAATAAAATAAAATTCAAAAAATTAAAAAATAAAGAATTAGACAACTGATGTTGAGACCAGGCTGTGATTATGTTAGGAAATTGGGTGTGGCAGAGACTGTCCAAGGTCACTGTTTCCTTTCTTTTTACTTTTTCAGGTGAAATTAACTGGTTTTTTAACAGCTTTATTGAGGCATAATTGATGTACAAAAACTGCACATATTTAATGCGT